TTGCCCAGGCTGGACTGCAGTGGTATAATCATAGCACACTGCAGCCTCGACGTCCTGTGCTCAAGTGATCCTTTGCCTCAGTCTCCTGAGTAGCTGGCATTACAGGCATGCACTATCATGCTCAGCTAATTTTAAAAGTTTTAGTAGAGACAAGATCTTGCTATGTTGCTCAGGCTGGTCTCAAACTCCTGAGCTCATGCAGTCCTCCTGCCTTGGCCTCTCAAAGTGCTGGGATTACAGGTGTGAGCCACCTCGTTTGGCGTGAAAGCTAATTTAAAAAAAAAAAAATATATATATATATATATATTTTGAAACAAGGTCTGGCTCTATCACCCAGGCTGGAGTGCAGTAGTGTGATCTCAGCTCACTGCAGCCTCTGCCTCCAAGGCTCAAGCGATCCTCTCACCTCAGCCTCCTGAGTAGCCAGAACTACAGGTGCACATCACCACACCCGGGTAGTTTTTTGTATTTTTGTAGAGACAGGGGTTTCACCATGTTGCCCAGGCTGGCCTCAAACTTGTGAGCTCAAGCAATCTGCCCACCTCAGCCTCCCAAAGTGCTAGGACTGCAGGCATGAGCCACTGTGCCAGGTGAAAGCTGATTTTTGATTTTTGATAGGCCAAGGTAATCTATAAAATTTCCCAACCATAATGTTATAAATAGATCATATGTATAATGAGATACTAATTTCTTTAAAGTTGAGGTGGGCCTGGATAGCCACTTCTGGCTACAAGCAGCTTTAACAGCTTACCCCAGTGTGCATGTTTATCCTTGTGTCATACGACTATCTCTTTTTGTGTTACAAGATGAAAAGGTTAGGAAGCACTCATCTACAGCAGTCCCTTACTTTTTATTTTTTTGAGACAGAGTCTCACACTGTTCCCCAGGCTAGAGAGCAGTGGTGTGATCTTGGCTCACTGCAACCTCTGCCTCCAGGGCTCAACCGATTCTGCCTCAGTCTCCCGAGTAGCTGGGATTACAGACATGCGCCACCATGCCCGGCTAATTTTTGTATTTTTAGTATACAAAAATTCATTCACTATGTTGGCTAGGTTGGTCTTGAACTCCTGACTTCAAGTGATCTACCTGTCTCAGCCTCCCAAAGTGCTAGGATTACAGGTGTGAGCCACCGCACCCGGCCTAGCGGTCCCTTATTTTAAACATATTTTTATTCCTAATAATTTTTGTATACAAAATAAAAGTTTAAGACCCTAATACAGCTGTGGTTCTTAACTTTTTTGGGGTCATTATCCCTTTGAGTATTTGATAACGCCAAAGAGCCTATCTCCAGAATAATACACTACTACTTTTCATGCAATATTTCACACACAACTTGAGGGTTACAGAATCCAGATTAAGTATCTGTTCTGGAAGGATTATCACACAAACCTATTTACTTATTTCAGAGGGGTTCATCTGCCTCCTCTCTGCGCCCTTTCTCTAATAAAACTTAAAAAAAAAACAATATTGTCAGGCCGGGTGTGGTGGCTCACGCCTGTAATCCCAGCACTTTGGGAGGCCGAGGCAGGCACATCATCTGAGTTCGTGACGGACTTTGAGAACAGCCTGGCCAACACAGTGAAACCCTGTCTCTACATTAGTCAGGTGTGGTGGCAGGCGCCTGTAATCCCAGCTACTTGGGAGGCTGGGGCAGGAAAATCGCTTGAACCTGGGCAGGGGAGGTTGCAGTGCGCCAAGATTGCACCACTACACTCCAGCCTGGGTGACAGAACAAGACTCCACCTAAAACAAAAACAAAAACAAAAAACCCCAGAAACCTCTGAAATACACAGTACATTAAACTCCCTCAAAGTTTTCTGGGCAGTAGGGACCAGGCGTGGTGGCTCATGCCTGTAATCCCAGCACTTTGGGAGGCCAAGGTGGGTGGATCACGAGGTCAGATGTCAGGAGATCAAGACCATCCCAGCTAACACAGTGAAACCCCATCTCTACTAAAAATACAAAAAATTAGCCAGACGTGGTGGCGGGTGCCTGTAGTCCCAGCTACTCGGGAGGCTGAGGCAGGAGAATGGCGTGAATCTGAAAGGCAGAGCTTGCAGTGAGCCAAGATTGTGCCACTGCACTTCAGCCTGGGCGACAGTGCGAGACTGTCTCAAAAAAAAAAAAAAAAAAAAAATTTCCTGGGCAGCATGCAGAAGCCACTATCAACTCTAGGTGGTATTCCCACAAACCCCCAGCTGCTTGGGGGTGGAGGCTGGGGTAGGGGGATATGCTCCTCACTGGCTGTAAGCACCATTTACCCTTGTAGTATCAACCACTGGTTGTTGGGAACCACTTGCAGATAGAAAGCAGTTCTCTGCACACCTCCCATTAGGCTTGGATGCATTTTGGTTAGTGTTTATACTAAAATCCCCAATGTAATCCTTCATACTGCAGTCTCTCTTCTCCACTGCAAGCACATGACCTTGTTCATGTGTATTAGTCACTCCACAGTTGTCACTAATCAAGGCAAGGTTGTACATTTCCCATGGGCAAATGGGAGAAAAAGGAACATTTAAATCAGTTAATTTCAGCAGCATCTTTATTGCAACAAATAACCTGTAATAAAATGCAACAAAACTAATGTTTCACTTTACATGATTAAAAGCCATATACCTAAAAATGAGAAAACCCATAAGCTTACTGGAGTGAGACATGCAATTCTTTTTATACAAGTCAATGCTTAAAACAGCAGGCACTTTATGTTCTAAAATTAACCACCTGAACTCCAATTTTGCTGAATACAACATAAATTTGTTTTGGGGTTACTTAAAAACAAACATACAAACACTACTTTTTCTTTACCTGTAAAGGACTTATGAAATGATTACCTAGAGCCCAGCACCTTGCACTAACATCTCCATATTTGAGGCTGGAAGATGGATAGGTGGAAGATGAGGCTGGGAAGGTGGGAGTCAAAAAAGTTTCCTTTCTCCTTTATATCTGCTGGGCATAGACACTCACCTTATATAGTTTAGAAATGGCCATGTCTCTTTTCTTACATCAAATAGCTATAAGATGGGCTCCCAGGCTTAAGCAAGCACTCTACTCTATATTCCAATCCTCAAATCCCCCACTATACCAAGGAAGACACATTTAGTGCAATGAATTTAATTAACTTCAGAATGTCATATACTAATTAGAAGTACTGCTTCATTAATAAGCATGCTTAGCATTTACTTTGGAATGGAAAAATTAACCATTTTTATGTGGTTACCTTTAAAATGTTTTATACGAATATATTAATAAATATTTCTTTAAAAATTTACCTTTTCTATATATCATTTAACTACCATGAGGCAGGACACCTGGCTGGAGTCCAGCACCAACTGGCTACTAAGTGGCTGTGTGGTCACGGGTATATTTCCTCCTCTCTCTCTAGCATGTAGGTTGTTCTTCTAACAAATGAGAATATTAGATTAGATTAAATCAAAGACTGATTCCATCTTGGAAAATGCATGATTTAATAATGAGAAATCTTATAGGAATCATTCCACCTGAAGAGAACTATGCTATAGAAAGGTGGGCTATACTATCTGGAAGGAATAAAACAAGTAGTAAAAAAAAAAAAAAAAAAAAAATTAAGCATCGGTATCAACATTGCATTTTTTAAAAAGGTAATGCATGCGTTGTGACCTAATCCTCTTGTATGAGGCTTTGGAAAAGAACCAGGAATGGCATAAAGAGAAAAACTTTTATTCCAAAATTAATCTCCAGACAAACGGGATAGAAACAAAGTAAACACCTCCTGCTGCTTTCAGAGTGAGAAGGGCCAAACAAGTTACCACAGATGAGCAGCTTCATGGACTACTGTTTAGGTTCTTGTGAATCAGTCCAGTGTAAAAAATCACCTATTATTAATCCAACTCCATTCTCTATAGAAGAGTTTCTTAAAGTAGTCCATAGATGACTTACTGTAGGATCGCGTGGAAAGCTTGTCAGAAATGCACATTCCTGGTGTCTACCTAAATCAATGGAATACAAATTTTTATTTATTTATTTATTTTGAGGCAGAGTCTCACTCTGTCGCCCAGACTGGACTACAGTGGCGCCATCTTGGCTCACTGCAACCTCTGCCTCCTAGGTTCAAGAGATTCTCCTGCCTCAGCCTCCCGAGTAGGTTCGGGATTATAGGCACACGCCATTATGCCCGGCTAATTTTTTTGTATTTTTAGTAGAGACGGGGTTTCACCATGTTGACCAAGCTGGTCTTGATGTCCTGACTTCAAGTGATTCACCCACCTTGGTCTCCCAAAGTGCTAGGATTACAGGTGTGAGCCACCATGCCTAGCCTGGGAATACATATTTTTAAGAGTGAGTTTCAAAACTCTACATTTCTTTTAGTAAGTATCCCAGATGAATCTTAGATTTTGAGTTCCACTACTCTAAAATGCTCAAGTATCCCTCTTGATGGCTGTTCAAGTGTACACATTTATCAAGTCTTTAAAAACACAGTATGATATTATGTAACCTAGTGCTTTTTGGCTCCCACTAAACTGTTGCTACTTTTATATATTCTTGCGGTTTAAGCTGTTACCCACACTTATGGGGTATAAACTTTTAGTTAGATTTCTACTGATTGCCTCAATTGACTATGATATTTTCCACACTGGTTGTAAAAAGCAAATTCAGTCAAACTGTCTTTCTGTAAGTGAATTCATTCAGGTATTTTTTCCCCGCTAAAGAAGCAGAATGGCATTTAAGTGACTGGGAGTGATAATAGAAACATTCTTTATGATAGGAGGAAAGAAGAAGGCAACATGCAAAAGGAAAACACCGGTGAATTCAAGAGTACATGAAGTTTTCTAAGTTTGTTTCGGTAAAATAAAAGATGCCATTTTGAAGAAACAGTCTTAATGTGTGAAAGGTTTCAATGGAGTAGCTGCTTAAAAGCTACTGTATACCATTTCTATTTTATATTGCATATAAGGATAGATCCTTTGAGGCCAATTAGTCCAAACAAAACAAAACAAAACAAAACACCCTCCACAGTCAGATACATACTTAAAGGGGAAAATACTTTCTTGGGAAAGAAAGTTACCCAAATCAATTTAATTTAACATTGAAAATATATATAAACAAATCTTGGCATGGGAAAATATCAAACACGAAAAGCAATACACATACAGATAATAAGAAAAAGCGTGATATCTATTATACAGTATAAACACAAACAGCAAAACCCAATACCTTTCCCAACGACAGAACCACCATGTCATCCTGCCATTTCTGGGCTTTCCCTACCTCCCACTTGGCGTCAATGAAGTCCACCTCTTACCAGTAGTCACCAACCTTACTAATGAAGGCTGTGCTCTCTATGGGGAAATCTACTCTCTCTGTAGTGATGAGAAAGAAACACAGCAAATTTTCTTGGAGTGTTGTTTAAAAGTATTGGTAATAACTTTCTAAACACTGAAGTGTGTGATAAAAAGCATCAAACTCATAGATGCCTTCCCTGCCACCGGTGTCAACGTGACCGATCTAGCACCCCAAGACTCTAACAGGGCAGATCTCAATTAGCACCTGAAAGCCTATGAGCTCTCTTCATAGCTAAATCCTAGTGCTAAACCAAGAAAAGTTCATGATCATTCAAGAAAACTGTTTATAGGCTTTAAACACCAAAAAAAAGAGAGCCATGGCTTGCCAGGGATTAGTTTATGGTAAAGAGGTTATCTGTAAACATTTGTGTTTTAAGCTTACAATATCTAAATTATGTTCAAATAATTTTAAAAGGATAAAGTTTAAATGTGTAGGATTTCTAAACCTAAGAGAAAAAAAAAAAAAAGAATTATAAAAGTAACTCTAAGGAACGTTTCCTCCCCTGAATCATGTTACTCTGTAGCTGTGCTGGCAAGACAGTGATTTATTGATTCTGGTTTCCTTAATATTCTAGTTGTTTAAATTTCAGTTTCCAAACATTTTCCTGAGTCTTTTTGTTAAAACTACTTCTGCTTAGTTTTTAATCAGGCCCTCACCACCTCTTCTCTCTGTCATTTCCCAAACCCAGGACTCCCCACCCCACTGTGATTCCCTTCAATCTCCTTAAAATTCTAGAATATTTTAATAAGGAAATTCTAAATGGAAACTGGCACCACTACATTTTCTGAAGAATTCTAGTGAATGTGTACTTTTTCCTTTTCTTAAAGGAAAAAAACAAAAAAACAAAAAAACAAAAAAAAAAACTTGCCTGCAAATATTTAAGCTCTAATCATTTAAAAATTTTCTGCCTGTAATTATCAGTATCATGACTAATTAAATCCATGCTACATATACAGTTACTAGCCTTTATGCAAAAGGAAAAGCCCACTCCGTTAATATCATCAAAGAAAAATGAGAATTATTTATATTAGATACAGATTAAATTGGCTAAAAACTGGTCAGTGCCAAAACAAGTGTCTTTAGGAGGCCACTAAGTTATCCTTGAAAAATCAATAATGAATGACTGGTTAAGTCAAGTTTAATAGTTATTAGTTCATAACATGCTGGATATGCCCAAGCAATGAAGCATAAGCTATTCAATTACATTTAAGTGCTATCAAATCTGTAACTAGTCAGAGATTCTGGAACTGAACCAAACCAATCACTAATATCATATTTTAACAAACTCAAAAGTATACTGTAAAAATACACTAATTAAGTTCATGAAGTTTATAATACTATTAAAAGTGAAAATAGGGTAGTATGAATACATGGTGTTAATGCTTTTTTTTTTTTTGAGTAATTCTCATGGTATTGCTGGGTCTCTCAGGAATATGTATCATTTGATTTTGAGCATGTGGGGTTAAGGTATTAGATTACTACCACAAACTGTAGACCCCTGCATGGCACCACATTTATTTTCAGGAGTAGATGTTACGTGGCAGGTATCAAAGTGTGATGATCAATTCTGTGTTTTCTATTGATTAAACCTCCTCATTTGGTTAAATAGCCAGTGTATACCAGAGAGTTCTATACAGGTCAAAATTATATCACTTTTAGAGCAGCAATACGTGATCCAAGGTTTTCTTGAAGGTAGTGCAAAAGATGCAGTTCATAATGTTCTCCAGATTCAGGAACTCTTATGCTGTGTCTCTCCTGAGGATAGATCTTACCAACAACAAAAAATAAAGATACAAAAAAAAAAAAAAAAAAAAGAATTTAGTGATACATCCTCTTCCAAAGCTTTCCAGAGATTTTAAACAGGATTAATAATATGAATCACAGCCTCTATGCAATATTGTAGAATAAATCGTATCTAAACGCTCCTCTCCTCATCTTATGATTTCCTTATTAAACATTAGGCTTAATGATGGATTTACCTGTAGACCAATGGTTTGTTCTCTAAGTGTGGTCTATAGACTTTCAGAGGTCTCTGAAAGCTTTTCAACGGATACAAATGGTCAAAACTACTTTTAGAACAACACAAAGACATTATTTGCCTTTACTTGTTGTGTCAGCATTTACAGTGATGATGCAAAAGCAAAGGTGAGTAAAACTGCTGGGTAGCATGAAGCAAGGCACTATCATTAAACTGCACTAGAAGTCACAATATTCCTCACCACCACACACTTCCAATAAAAAGAAAAATGTCAGTTTCAATTAAGTAGCAGTAAAAATTAGAATTTATTAAGTTACAACCTTTGAGTAGAAGTCTTTAATATTCTGTGTTTATGAAATGGGAATGCATAAAGCACCTGTGCTACAGGATGTCTCAAGGAAAAGTACTAGTGTGAATGAGTCACAAGCTGAACTGCTGCTTTTTAAATGGAACTCCATTTTTAACTTCAAAGAATGACTGACAACTATGGTTATTTAGGGTATCCAGTAAATATTTTCTCAAAAGTGAATGAAGTGAGTTGGCCACTTCACGGACAACAGTGACAGTATTTGTTGCCAATGATAAAATCTGGGCTTTTGAGTTAGAATTTTGGAAAACTTGCATCTACTACTATTAACTAATGAGCTTCCCAATACTTAGACACTTTTCTGATAAGATCAGTGGTAATATAACTATATGTGATTTTTAAAATATTGTACAACAAAAGGCGTCAACATTTGAAAGACTGGAATAACACAGTGAGCCAGTATTTTCCAGATGGCTAATGCATGGTAAAAGATCCATTTGAAGTATAAGATCCACACTTTAACGTAACAGAATATGAAGTTTATATATATCACTTCAGATTCCACACTAAAACCTAGCTTTAAGTCAGATGCAGGAGCCCATTCCCTGTAGTCTCAACTACTTGGGAGGCTGAGGTGGGAGGATTGCTTGACCCCAGGAGTTTGAAACCAGCCCAGGAATCATAGTAAGACTTCAATTGAAAAAAATAAAATTAAAAAACAACAAAAAATTCATTGGCTGGGCATGGTAGCTCACCTTGCTTGCAATCCTAGAACTTTGGGAGGCTGAGGTGGGAGGATCACTTGAGTTCAGGAGTTTGAGATCAGCCTGGGCAACTTAGTGACACCCATCTCTTAATATATTTAGGCCAGGCGCAGTGGCTCATGCCTGTAATCCCAGCACTTTGGAAGGCCGAAGCAGGTGGATCACGAGGTCAGAAGATTGAGACCATCCTGGCTAACACAGTGAAACCCC